CCCCTTCTGTTGGGTAGACCGTTCTTGGCCACAGCTCGAGCTATGATTGATGTAGAACAAGGAAAGCTCGAGTTGAGGATGAATGATGAGAAAATCACTATCAATGTCTTCGATGCTATGAAGAATTCATCTGATCACAGTGATTGTTTCAGACTTGATGTGTCTGAAGAGGTGATTATGGAAGAGAAAAGTGATTATCAAGAGCTTGAAGAAGAGTTGAAGGCTCAAGATGAAGCTACTCCACAAGAAGAGCTAGAAGTTGTTTTTGAGGTGCTAGAAAAGAAAGAAAATGATCTAGTTACAGTAGCACCAAAAACAGAGTTGAAAGAGTTTTCTGAAACGCTGAAATATGCATTCTTGGGAGATAAAGAGCAATATCCCGTTATCATCAATAAAGAGTTGTCTATGGATGAAAAAGAGAAGTTGTTGAAAGTGCTCAAGGAGCACAAGACAGCTATTGGGTGGTCTATTTCTGATTTGAAGGGCATCAACCATTCTTTCTGTACTCACAAGATGCTAATGGAAGACAATGTTAAACATGTGAGACAATCTCAGAGAAGACTAAACCCCACAAAGAAGGAAATCCATCAGTGGCATGAAGGAAGCAAGCCAAAGGTTAAGATGGAAAAGCCCAAGGGTAAGGAAAAGCATGTGAGGACTAAGTTTAAAGTTTCTGAGAACCCTCATCCTTATCCACATGCATATGAGTATAACCATGGCGGGACACAAATTCTGAGTAAGGGTATAGTGTCATCACTGAGCCCGAGTTACCAGCCACCATGATCACAAGGGGTACGTCAGGCTCGTGACGTTAAACAAGCGCTACTTGGGAGGCAACCCAATGAGTTTTTATTATTATTTTTATTTTATTTTATTTCCTTTCTCTTATCTGTGTTTAATTTTTATTGTGATGTTTTATTTTCATTGTCTTTGTTTGACCATCTAGGTTTATGTTAGGGTCATTTGAACCTCTTTGGTATTTTGGGTTGTAATTCTCCAGTACATTGGTCATGTTATTTTCTGTTTGACATTTCACATGTGTGCTGTTTATACTTGCGCAGCAGTATTTTCTCTGACTACTTCAGTTATTGCTGAGGACAGCAATGTTCTAAATCTAGGAATTGGGGCCGCATACACGGAAATCGAGGTATCACACACAGAAAAAGGTTCAGCAGATTCATAGCCACTTCAGGGGAGCCACTTCAGGGGAGTTATTTTAACCTTTCTAGTTATTTTCATTTTTATTTTATTTTTCATTTTGGTAGAGATTTTGTGTTTTTAGTTTCATTTCCTGCTATGTGAAAGCACAGTCCTGATTTAGATGTGCTACTCAGTCAATTCCTTGGTTGAATATGAGGAAGCATTGCATGATATGCAAGATTTTCATGACATTGCATAGAGCATGAATAGAGATTATGATTGCTCGTTTGTTTGATTTCTATGATAATGATGCTTGAAATGAAATCAAGAAGAGTCTAGTTTGATACCACAACTTGTGAGGTTTGTGCCTATACAGCAACGGCGCCAAAAACTTGATGCGTAAGATCAGCAAGTGCACCGATCGTACTAAGTAATAAAGAGTGAGTAGAGTATCGTCTCCACGAGGATTGAGGCACCTAAGTTGTTATAACTATTCCTCTCTTGTTGGATTAATCAAAATAGGTTGAGAATGATTGTAGTTCATGAAACAAACTAAAATAATTAAAGTAAAAATGTAAATGATTCCAAAAGTGTTTTCAGAATGCAAGAACAAAAGATTAAGGATTGGGAAAATATTTGAGAAAATATTGCGGTAAAGAGAAACAAACACCTTTCCGATCCCCACCTTGCAACTTGGATTACGTTTACATTTACCTATTCAATTGATCGAACAATTCATCATCTTTTATATGAGTAGTTAAGCCCTAATCCCGTAGTGACTTTAACCTTGTTAACTCTATTAGAATCCTAATCCCTTAGAAATCCCTTTTCGAGTTAACCCTTAGAATCAATGAACCTTTAACGTTCGCTGTTCATGTAGCCTATCCCTAGTGCGTACATGAACAGTTATCTTATTCTTTGTCAGGAATTAGAATTCCAACATCCCTATTGTAAACCCTAACCCTCGCAACCCTACTAGATTGATCAGTTCCAATAGAATTATAGAATGAAGAACAAGAAAAGATAAATGCAATTAAAATAGATAATCATAAATTTCAACCAAGGTACAAGGGGTTCACATCAAGGGTTGTGACCCTTACCACAATGATAAAACTAGCCAGACATGTTCATGTCTGACAAAATAACAATAAAATAAAGTAGCATTTAAAACCTAGAAGAGAAAGGGAAGATGAAGATCTTCCGTCTTGATCGATCGAATCCTTGAATCTCCGAGAAGCTCCAAGGAATCTCCGCTCTCTTTGTTGTTTTCTCCTCTTGATTCTCCAAAAAAGTCCCTTCTCCCTATGTTTCTCATCCTTTTATTAGGTTTTGGGAAAACCTATTTTCCTTTGCACTCCAATTGGGCCTTATTTTAGCTGATTCGCACTTGAAAATATATCGCCTGCGCACGGGGCGCCAAGCCTGGCGCCCCAAACTTGGGAGAAACAGAAGCTGAATCTGTAAACGGCGCCCCGGGCGCCAACTCTGGAGTGCCGTGCGCCAGTCCCGCGCGCCGTGCGCCAACTCCCGTGCACTGGGCGCCATGTGTTGATTGAAGTGATAGAGGCATTTTGTTCTATTAAGCTTATGGCCAAATAGCTACCTGAGAAATCATCCATTGTTAGCCATGTTGAGCATGAGACCAATTTTTTTAATTACCTTATTAAACTGTTTAGACCACTTCCATCAGAACTTACCTTGTTTGAGATTGAAATGTCAATAATCAAAAAGTTAGAAGTAATTGAGGTAAGCTCCACTAGAAGTTAAGCAGTTGAAAAGGAAAAGAAAAGAATAGTTCTCACATGAGTATAAAGAGAAAGAAAAATAAATTGCAAAAATTGACAAGCAATGCTGAAGGAAAAAGTGAGAAAAAGGAAGGAATCATGAATTCGAATAAAAAGTGGTGCTGAAACTTGAATTGAGAGATGATTGAGTATTAATGAAAATGGTGTTTCAATCTCAATAATTATTCAGCTACTTTCCAAAAGATTCTAACCTTAAGCCAAGCCAAGTTATAACCTTAAGAAGCCCTTTTGATCAATCAGGCATGTGTTGATGTTCCTCATCTTTAGGAACTTGAGAAAAAGATCAAGCTTATGGTAGAACAACAGCTGTGATGAAATGAGTGATGATGAATGACCCCAAACACTGAGTGATGAGTGAATATCATGTCTTGTGAGGGGTAATCAAGTTAGACTCTGACGTTTGAATGTAGTGTTAAGCATCATCTTAAGTTTGACTTGGAAATCATTCATGCTTAGTATAGTAATCTCTATTATTGTCTGTGCAATGCTATGCCTGATTAATTGAACCTTGCTTCCCATGCTTAAATTCAATTTATTGCTGAGGACAGCAACATCTAAATCTGGGAATTGTTTGATGTGAGTCCAACAGATGATGTTTTCTAACTTAAAAGAAGCAAGGAATTAATCATAAATGTGTGAAAATATTCATTAAATGCAAGAAATATTGATTATTCCTTCTCAATCATGCTCTCACTCAAGTTATATGTTAAATAGCACGAAACGCCGCAAAAAGGAGCAAAAACGGAGAAACCAAATTTCTCGCTGGCGCACGACGCGCGGAGGTTGGCGCACGGAGCGCCAAACTGGCGCACAGGGCGCGATACCTGGCGCACGGGGCTCCAAATCGACGATTTGCTTCTGTTTCGGCCGCGCACGGCGCGCGGGAGGTGGCGCACGGCGCGCCAACCTGGCGCCCGGTGCTCGAGAGTTGGCGCACGGAGCGCGGGACTGGCGCACGGCACTCCAGAGTTGGCGCCCGGGGCGCCGTTTACAGATTCAGCTTCTGTTTCTCCCAAGTTTGGGGCGCCAGGCTTGGCGCCCCGTGCGTGGGCGATATATTTTTAAGTGCGAATCAGCCAAAATAAGGCCCAATGGGAGTGCAAGTGAAAAGAGGTTTTCCCAAAACCTAATAAAAGGATCTGAAACATAGGAAGAAGGAACTTTTTTGGAGAATCAAGAGGAGAAAAACAACAAAGAGAGCGGAGATTCCTTGGAGCTTCTCGAAGATTCAAGGATTCGATCGATCAAGACGGAAGATCTTCATCTTCCCTTTCTCTTCTAGGTTTTAAATGCTACTTTATTTTATTGTTATTTTGTCAGACATGAACATGTCTGGCTAGTTTTATCATTGTGGTAAGGGTCACAACCCTTGATGTGAACCCCTTGTACCTTGGTTGAAATTTATGATTATCTATTTTAATTGCATTTATCTTTTCTTGTTCTTCATTCTATAATTCTATTGGAACTGATCAATCTAGTAGGGTTGCGAGGGTTAGGGTTTACAATAGGGATGTTGGAATTCTAATTCCTGACAAAGAATAAGATAACTGTTCATGTACGCACTAGGGATAGGCTACATGAACAGCGAACATTAAAGGTTCATTGATTCTAAGGGTTAACTCGAAAAGGGATTTCTAAGGGATTAGGATTCTAATAGAGTTAACAAGGTTAAAGTCACTACGGGATTAGGGCTTAACTACTCATATAAAAGATGATGAATTGTTCGATCAATTGAATAGGTAAATGTAAACGTAATTCAAGTTGCAAGGTGGGGATCGGAAAGGTGTTTGTTTCTCTTACCGCAATATTTTCTCAAATATTTTCCCAATCCTTAATCTTTTGTTCTTGCATTCTGAAAACACTTTTGGATCATTTACATTTTTACTTTAATTATTTTAGTTTGTTTCATGAACTACAATCATTCTCAACCTATTTTGATTAATCCAACAAGAGAGGAATAGTTATAACAACTTAGGTGCCTCAATCCTCGTGGAGACGATACTCTACTCACTCTTTATTACTTGGTACGATCGGTGCACTTGCCGATTTTACGCATCAATAATGCTGTGAAGGATGTCCCAAGCGTCGATGCCACAGAGTAGATGAAGTTTCACCAGAGACCTTATTTGCAGAAAACGCTTGATGAAACACATACACCCTTTCATGTTCAACACCCTTGCCAATCGTCCTCCTCGTCTGTAGGTCCTGTAGAAAACACTTGGAATTAGTGAATAAAGCGATGCAATTGCTGCAGTGTATTAACTGAGAGATAGAAATTAAATTGCATGTAAGGGATGGCACATAAAGAACGTTGGTAAGAAGCAACGTAGATGTGAGTTGCACATCCCCACATTGGACCGCAGCGGTACGGGTTCCATTGGGTAAACCGACTGAGCACGGAGGAATAACTCGGATATTAGTGAGGAAGGAGAGTGTGCCAGTCATATGTTGTGAAGCCCCACTGTCCAGAAGCCAAGGATGTGGGAAGGAAACAATACCCGATAATTTGTCAGTTGTTGCTTTAGATGAGACAGCAAGAGACATTAATTGTTGAACCATATCAGGAGTAAGATCAGTAGCAGACAATGGTTTTGGGACACCAGTAGGAGGAGGTAATGCATCCGAGTAAGTGGCATGAGCAGAAGCATGGGCAGAACGTCCTGGGTTGGAGCGGCCGCGACCACGTCCTCTTCCAGCAGTCATGCGATCAGGGTAACCATGAAGTTTGTAACACCGGGAAGCGTCATGATTGGGACGTCCACAGTGAGAACATATGATGCGGGCCTTGGAAGGATCCAGTGGTGCAGTGTGAAGAGCACAGCCGAGAGCATCATATGGAATTTCAGCAGTCCGAACCATAGCTTTATGGGATTCTTCTTGAATTACCATAGCAAAAACACGATTGATAGTGGGGAGAGGATTGCTGTTGAGAATTTGAGTAATGAGAGTACCATATATATGATGATCAAGTCCGATAAGGAATTGATAAACTCGATCATGTTCAAGTTCAGCAGTGACAGATTTGGTAAAGGCACACGTATCACCAGATGCACATGCAATAAGCTTGCGGCTTGATTCCAATTCATCCCAAATTGAACGAAGTTGAGTGTAATAGTCAGTAACAGGGACGCCATTTTGCTTCATAGTGGCGAGAGCAGATTTGAGAAAAAAAAATACGAGGAATGTTTGCAACAGCAAAACATTCCTTTAGATCATCCCATAGATTCTTCGCAGTGTCGAAACATTTGATGAATGGCTGCATCTGAGGATCGATGGTATTGTGAATCCAGCTATTAATCATGGAGTTGCACAGGGACCAAGCATGAGCTTCATCAGAGGAAGCATCAGAGGGTTGCGTAACGCTGTTATCAACAAAGCCAAGCTTATTTTTGGCTTTCAAGGCGTTGCTCATGAGTTTGGACCAGTTTTCATAATTGGATTGGCCACGTAGAAGGACAGTAGTGAGAATAACCCCAGGGTGATCAGAGGGATGAAGGTAAAATGGTGATTTTGGGTCTGTGATTTTAAGAGTGGAGGCAGCCATAGTGGAAAAAAAAAACTGACTTTAGAATCGTCTAGCTCTTGATACCATAAAGGAAGTTGTGAGTGAACAGCTTAGCTTTTTATTCATGTATTGGTCATTTAAATACATCTATCAGCAACTAACTATAATACACATACGTAGGAATCTATTCCTAAGATAAAGGAAGAGTTGCAACTAAATTACAAACATAGAACAAACCTATCAACAACCTAAAACTAAATTACAAACATAGAACAAACCTATTAACAAACTAACAAACCAAGTAACAAACTAACAAGGGAAACCTATCGTAATACTATGTAACTACATTAGCATTACTTAAATCACTTTTCATAATTACCCTTTATCGGCCCTTAGACCAAGCCAATTCAAGCACTTGTCTTAAATTTGTCATTTTAGTTGTTGCATGGGAGTTAAAAAGACATATAAAAAAGATAAGGATAGAGTTAAGAAAATATATCATTCATTTTATAAAAATACAAATCAAAAGAAAGAAATAAGTACACTTTTCCAGAAAAATTAATTAACAGAACGGAAGGAGTATTAGGAAAAGGATTCTTAACAGCGTATTATTTTTCTACCCTTTGTCTTACACATGTACTTTTGTATGGTTATGATTTTTCATATTTAATACTTTTAGCATTAAATATGAAAAATCATAACCATACAAACATCAACAACATTTTTATCCTAAATCATAATCATACAAAGATGGAAATAAATATAACCATTGGATCAACATAATCGATCTATCGGTGAAATTGATAAAGTTATAAACATTTCTACAGCTATATATATATATATATATATATATATATATATATATATATATATATATATATAAAGTTATAAACATTTCTACAGCCACTTTAGATAAAGTTATCTACAGCTATATATATATATATATATATATATATAGGGAAAAATGTGTATCATTTTAAAAGATATAAAGTTGTGTCATTTTAAGTGAGAGAAAGAGATAGATAAAGGAGAGAGAGTTGATAAAAGAATATAACGGTGTGGATCCCACCTCTTTGTGAGAGTGAAATAACACAAGTTGTGTCATTTAAAAGGATAAACTTTTTTCCCATATATATATAAGGTAGTATCATTTGACACCAGTGTCAAATTTAAAATTTAACACCTCATTTGAGAGCCATTAGATCAAAAAAGATCAATGACTCTCATTTGTAAGCATGTGACACCATTGATCTTTTTTGATTTAACGGCAATTAGATGAGGTGTCAAATTTAAAATTTGACACTGGTGTCAAAGAATCCTAACTCATATGTGAGTGTGTGTGTGTGTGTGACGAGATCAACTTATATACCAGAATAAAAATAATAAATTTTATATCAAATCTTAAGTATTGGTTTCTATGAATCTAACGGTTGTGATTTATTTGGTCACACTCATTAATTAATTTTTAATTTTTAATAAATTATTTCGTTAGAGACATGAAAAATTTAACGATTAAGATTTGATAGAAGACTTATTATTCTTATATCGATATAAATTGATCTATATATATAAATATATTTCTGATATTGCATGAGACAAAATTATCTGATGCACATACAAAATGTAGGTAGTACTCATATTTTTCTTTATCTCTCTTTTTCTTAGGGTGTGTATGATAACCTTCTCGGAATCAATTTTTTTTTTTTTAATTTCTGTTCTCGGGAAAAGAAATGGATAGAAAAATTGTTTGGTAAAATCGGTTTATTTTTTTGTTCCCTGGGTGAACCGGTTTAATTTTTGTGCTAAGAAAAAGAAAAAAGAAAAAAAAATTCTGCTTTTTTGTTCTCGGGCACAAAATGAGACACATTTGTCTCTCTCAATCACTCTCCACCGCTATCATCATCCTTACACGACCACCGCGACCATCTTCGTCGCCATTATCGTATCACCAATGCCGTCGTCACCACCACCACCACCACCATGATTCCACCGCCTCCATCCATCTTTACCACCATGCCACAGTCACTATCACCACCGCCGCCACCACTATCATCGCCAACCACCACCATTGCAGCCACTGCTGCTATCGTCACCACTACCACCATCACGATGCCACCGCTACCATCACCACTACCGTCACCGACTACCACTACCATCGCCATAGCCACTGTTGTCACCACCACCATCATGCCATCACCACCACCATGCCTTCACTGCCGCCGCCACAACCACCACCATCAATGTCGCATCCACTACCGTCACTACCACGCCACCGCCACCATCACCATCATCATCACCACCACCACCATTGCCGCCACCACTTCCACCACCACCATCACCATCACCATCACCATCGTTGCAACTACTGCCGTTATCACCACCACCATCGTCGCCACTACTACTGCCGCCGCCACTACCACCGCCACCATAACCACAACAACCACCATCATCGTTGTAACTACTGCCGTCACCACCACCACCATCGCCACCGTTACTACCGCCGCGGCCACCACGACTATGCAACCACCATCAACACCATTACCACTGCCGCCGCCGCCGCAGCTATTGCCATCACCACCACTACCATCGCCACCATTACCACCGCTGCGGCCACCACAACTATGCAACCACCATAAACACCATTACCACTACCACCGCCGCAGCCATTGCCATCACCACCATCACCATTACCACCACCACGCCACCTCCGCCGTCACCGCCACCACCACCATATAAAAAGGAAAGTGATGATCCGAATTTTTTTATGTTTAATAGGAATTATTTTTTATTATATTATTTGTTGTGTTATCAAACGTGTTGTCAAACATATTTTTTTCTTAAAAACTGTTCCAAGGCACATAGCTAGAAAAGAATTATTTCTTTTCAGAAATAATGCTAGAAAACAGAATTATCATGCATACCCTTAATGACTCTCATCCACATTTTTATACACTGAATTATTTCATGCAACGTAAAATATATTATCATGAATAAATGTGTCTGAAAAGTATGTTCTCAAAAAGCAACTCTTGTAGTAGTTTCTAATGTCATGTACTTTTTATTTCATTATTTTTTTTTGTCAGTGTTCTTCAATATTTGGACAATTTTTATTGTTTGTTGCTTCCAGCTGAATTTACCCATATAATATATATAGAAGAAGCAAATGCCATTTTGGATGTTAAGAACATGCATTTGGTTGATATCCATAATGATCACTACACCTACATTTCAGAAAATTTGAAATGTCATATCAGATAGTCTCCGACATTGCTAGACACTCTAATATATTCTAAATCTATAATATTTAAAATTTTATTACATATCATAAAAAAATAATTGATATTTTATTAAACGGATATAATAAAATTAAAAAATAGATACTGAATAAATCTCATTGCAGTATATAAAAAATTTTCAATTTAAAAATATAATAATAAATATTTATATTTTATATTTCTTTACAAAATTGATGAATATTATAAGTTTAATTTTATTTTTTGTTAAATTATTGAATATTAAATATAATATATATATATATACTATATAATTTAAAATATTATTTAATATCAAAATATGTCATAATATATTAAAATATAATATTTTTTAAAATTATTATGTCAAAATATCATATCGTATTATATCTCCTGTCTAGTGTCGGGATTGGTTCACCATGTCACTATACCGAAAAAATGGATACGCATAGTTGCAGAAAGGCAAACGTTAGTGGGGTCTCAGAATTCCATTAATTAGTCAAAAATCAAAAGAGAGACATGACTTATGGAACCAAATATCTTTTGTGCAGCTCGTGACGTGCTTCCAATTGGAATGACGTTGATGGTGGTGCATGTGTCCGTGCTTGCAAATGCCACTAAAGAGGACATTAATTGGTATATTCTAGGACAAAGAACTGAAATGGGAAAGGCTGGTTAATTCTTGACCATATACTTAATCTTATATTTATTTAGTGCGCATCGACCGTTGATTCAGTCATTTCATCTGGGCTTTTAACATAAGCAATACCCTTCATGAAGCAAAGTGCGGCATATATATATGGTCACAGAGGGTATAATTTCATCTCGTTTATATTTAACTAATAAATTAGCCATTTTAAATAAAATATAATTGCTTTTTTTTTTTTTTTGAAAACTGATCCTAATTACGGCGAATCAGAACCCTCCGGTATCCCCATAGATTCGACTCTTTGAGTTATCTATGAGACTGATCAAGAATTACAGTACTTATGCCCCTCCCCAGATGGTGTTGATGGGATTCGAACCGAGGTTCTCTCCCACCACTCAGTCCTCATGCTACCAACTGAGCCACCACACTTGAATATATAATTGTTTATTTGTATTTGTGAACAACTTGTTCGTCGTGCATAATATTATTTATTATTCAATCATTAATTATTTGTTCAAAATTTGTTTAGATCTTGTGACCTTGTTGGGACATGCATCGGACATGGACAAAGTGTGGCTATAATGATTTAAACCAAACTCTCCACCAGGTGATTGCTTTAGGAAATTAGATATTACTGGGTCAAAGACTCAAAATAACTTAATCATTTTGCAACTTGAGAATGGCTTATGGTAGTTAATTATTGACAAATTAAATTTTAAATATATTAGTTGTTTTATGATGTTTAAATTTTTACTTTATAATAAGTTTAGACTAAGATAAATCAAACTTAAATAGAGACTATCAAACTCAAATAAAGTTAAATAAATGAATGCAAACATCAGATTCTGGTTTAAACTTTAAACTATATTTATTACCCCTAGCAAAGAGCTAGACATATTTCAAACACTGTATTTATAAATTATTGTAAGCACAATTGGATCTGTGGAAGTGCTAAAACCGTTGCAGGTTAGAATGTATTAGATCATCATGGTTTTGGTTTCACAGGAAATTAATTATCTATTAGCATAGATATGATATGATACCCTTGTGCAGGTGTGACTTCATGAACTAGCTTGATCAATGTTCATGCACGAACAAACACATTGTTGAAGCTGGCTTCTGACAGACCTTCGAAACTATCTCAAAGAGTAACAAAGCTAGTGTATGGGCACTCTCAATATCAGAACTAACTATACAGCAGCCAAACCAATAGTAGTTGTCTGGAGGCTTATGAATAAAGAGTGAGATTATATATAGGTATCAAATTATATATATGAACCTTGGTTTCTTATATATAACATGATAAGAATATATGGGAAAAAGAAGTATCATTTAAAAGGACACAAGTTGTGTTCTTTTATATGATTTACATAAAGTATGACCGGTCATACTTTGTGAATCTGAAAAGTTTTTTTTTTTCTCTCCTCAGTCACATCACTGATGTGTAAAGTGAAAAAAAAGTAACTTTTCAGAATTACACAGAGTATGACCGATCATACTCTGTGTAAGTCACTAAAAGAACACAACTTGTGTCTTTTTAAATAACACACACTAAATCCAGAATATATATAGTAGAATGTTGGTTTCTTATCAGAAGAAAATCCCATATATTATCAGAAGACAATCCCATCACCACATTTTGTCAAGTTATATATATCACGTCTATAAACACTACTGATATGATAAGATTAATATATTATCTGATAGGATTATTTTCTTATATCTTTTAAGTAATTGTCTGTTGTGAGCTATTAAGACATGGACATGTAAGAGCGGTGCATAACAAAAAGATTCACATATAGTTAATTGGTTGAGTTTGTTTAACTCCATTAATTTGTTTTTTAAATAACGTGGGGAGTGGATCCTCTCATGTGCTAATTAACATGACCATGTCATGTAGGACAATCATAACCATACATGGGTGAGTTAATGGTGATAAGGGAGAAGAGAAAAAAAATATAAGAATATGAAGTTACACAATCATCATCGTTGATTTAATTATTAATGGTTAAGATCCTCCCACATGACATGATCATGTTAAATTACACATGAGAGGATCTATTTCCAATAACGTGACACTATCAGTTATTCCAGTTAGGTTAGTTTCCTCTATTCTCTCAATAATTTTTTTTATAGATTTTTTTATTTTTATAAAAAATCAACTGTAATTTTCAGATTTATTTTCTGTTAGTTCCAGATTCAATTTCTGATTTTCTCCAACTAGTTCTTTTATTCCAGCTTGAATCGGTTTAATACTTTAGTTCACAGTTTTCTCCTCACTTTTTGTTTGCTGTTGACTCCAGTACTTTAGAATGGGAAAAAAATTAATATGCTCCAGGTTCACCACTTATTCAGTGGTCCCTTTTTCATAAAAAACAAATTTCTTCCATTTCTACCTTTCTCTTTTTGATTTTTTTTTTCTTTCCGTCCCTCTTTTTTTCTATTTTGGGAAAAGATCACCATAGTCCAGGCCCACTAAATACCTTCTCTTAGAATGGACTCAGAATTCAAGTATTTGCCCCTTTTATAATGACGGGGAGGAAGGCCGTGTCTGAATTCTGTTTTGAAAAATAATTTTTTAATTTTCAGAATAAAAAATTTATTTGATAAAATCTGTTTTATAATTTTTTTTAAAAAATTGTAATTATTTCTTAATTTTAGAATCAAACTTAAAGAACATATTTAGGTTGTTTTTATTTTTTATTTTAACTTTTCAAAAAAAATGTGAAAAACTTATTTCATTAATTATTCTACAAAATAATTTTTTTAAAAAAAAAAACCGAAAAAGCAATCCAAAAGACCCGGGCTTTTATGTACGCATCTTTTAAATTTTTGTACTCCACTCTATTTCACATATTGACTTAAGCATTTTTATAAGCGTTTCTATAAATGCACCACCAATCGCGTTGGAGGGGAAGTTACAATAATAACCACTATAACAATACCCTCAAAAAAGGAAATTATACCAAAAAAATACAGTTTATATTCGAATAAAAAGAATAATATAACACACTAAATTACTTTAAATATAACTCAAAATTAGTAAAAAGCAGTGTCGTAAAATCCGGTCCGACCCAGCCAGGTCAACCCGGGACCCGGTGAACCGGTCATCAGATCGGTTCGGATCAAGAATTGGACCGGTCATGCATTGACTCGATCAAATCCGGACAAAATCGGCCAAACCAGATCAAAATCGGTAACCCGATGACCCAGTCGGGTCTTGTATTTTTAAATAAAAAAATCAAAAAACCAAAATTGTTTTATCTGTCAGAAAAAAATATAGAACTCATTTTAAAAACTTTTTGTAATTTTATTTGCTAGTATACTCTTCTACAGTGACCCCAAATTTCAGCTTCCAATATTGAAGTAATTTGCTGAATAATAAATTAAGAGAATGTGACATATGTCGTTTTAATGTAGTTGAATTGAAAAATATGGGTTCAATGTTTATTGAGAAGTATATTTATGGAGATTCTGAGTTGCAATTTAAATTGACAAAGTAATAGCGTACATTTTTATTTATTTATGCTTCATGTTTTTGAGCATATTTAGAGAACCTTGTTTAATTTATTTTAAATATGGAGAATATAATTGAATTTATATGTTCGTATTTATATATATTTTTATATATTTATATATATCCGGGTTAACCGGTCTGACCAGTGATCCACTGATTCGACCAGTAATTTAGTGACCTAGTATCCCGACCTAGTCGATGCCCGAGTCGGGTTTAATAACACTAGTAAAAAAGATAGGTTATTACTTATTATTTTACAATTACCGGGAACTATCATCTTTATAGACTTTTAATTTTATTTTTTTTATATTTCTACAAAAAAATTAATGAAAAGGAGCCTTGCCACAACATTTAGTATTTGTTGTCTTGTGACTCAGAAGTTACAGATTTATTTCATATAACTTACCTATCAAATTCATATAACTTACAGTGTAAGGTTGATCCGTGAATTTTTTATTTTTTTCATCAATACACTGGGCGTAGCATTCTTGAAATATAATTCTAATAATATAATTTTAAATTATTTAAATCGAATTAGTTTATATTTTTTTTTTCAATTTATAAATTTAACAAAATATTAAAATTTAATTTGATCAAGCTTTATCAAATATAAGTTCTAAATAGATTCATCAAAATCGTTAAATATAAATTTAAATAAATAGATGATAATAGATTAAAATATAACTTTATATTCTAAATAAATTAGTTGTCAATCTTACAATATATATTTGTAATCAAAATTTAATATAATTTTCCTTGAAATAAAAAATTAAATAAATATAGATAATCCCTTTTTTAATAAAATTATAAAATTTAAATTCAATCTAAATTGAAACAATTTTAAATTAAAATTTGAAAACCATTTCGGTTGATCTTTCAACTAAATTTTTTCACTATATACTACCAAAATCACCTCTTCTTAAAGTCTAGCTCTAGCTGTATTGTATGACAGGAAATGAGATACGACACGATACGATATTCCGACACACTAATTTTAAAAAATATTAAATTTTCACACGTTAAGACATGTTTTAATATTAAATAATATTTTTAATTTATGTAGTGTATATTATATTTAATATTCAATAACTAAAAAAAAATTAAAGCTAAACTTATAATATCCATCAATTTTGTAAAGAAACATAAGATATTATAAATATTTATATTAAACTCAATAAAATGATAATTGTAATCAAAGAAATCTAATAGTTAGAACTAAAAACAAAACACATCGCAATTTTTTAACATTTTTTAATCTCTGCAATACATGCTAAAATATCGGACAAGATACATGAGATGTTTTAAAATGTAGGTGCTTCATAAGTATAGACCAACAGAGCGAGCCCATTATTTGGGCGAAAATTCATTGTATTTATTTCTTAATTTGAAGTGTTGCTTGTGATAAAAATAGTACATACGACTGACGGATCATAATTGGATGCAAGAATAATTTTAAACGACTTATATTTTTAAATCAAAACTATTTTATAGAAATAAAATTAACTTAAGAATATAACTTACACCTATCTAAACTAATCATCAAGATATGATTGCTTTCATGTTTCAAGTAAAACCTTTAAGCCAAAACCGAGTGAAGAAAACAAGGGCTACTGCCAACCTTTCAAGTTTTTGCTACTTTAACTTATGCGCATATATATATTAGCAGTTCAACACCAAATGGTAGATACACATTGACACTCGTAAAAGGCATACCCAAATAGAATGTCTGGCACTCAGCCACAACAGGAGCCACAAGCAGGCAGTGAACCTGCAAGTTCAATTGAGACAGAATTAGTAAGAACCCAAGAGAGAAAATAAATAAATTAAATTAAATAAAAAATACGTAATCACCCTAAACTTATGATTTTGCAAATAAGCCCCTTTAACTTTATTTTAATTAGCTTTTAAATTCTAACTCCCCCTATACTAACCTCTTCTGTTAACTCAGATTAATTTACTAATAATGAATAAATCTTAACTGTGTATTAAACCTACATAATTAAATATATTTTTAATAAAAAATATTATCATATTTTATAATCTTAAATTAAAAAAGACAGAAAACAGAAAATTTAAAATATTATCTTCTTTTCCTAGGTAAAATAAAAAATAATTTTTTTTTTAAAATTTCATTCAAAAACATGAATCAAATTTACTAACCTCTTCTGTTAACTTAGTTTAATTTACTAATAATGAATAAATCTTAACCGTGTATTAAATCTACATAATTAATTATATTTTTAACAAAAAATATTATCATATTTTATAAATTTCTTAAATTAAAAAAGACAAAAAACAGAAAATTTAAAATATTATCTTCTTTTCCTAGATAAAATAAAAATAAAAATAAAAATATAAAAAAATTTCATTCAAAAACATGAATTAATGGTCATCGTTAATAAATTCATTATAAGTTAACAATCTACCAAAAAAAATAAAAAAATCCTAAAGTTAACACACAAAAAAAAAAACTATAATAATACATAAAATTAAAAGAATAATCAAGACGAAATTAAAACTGAAAATACCTATTTAAAAAATAGAGAATTTAAGATTGCTTCAAATACTTTACCCAAAAATAAATGATTAGCAGGGGCTAAAGCAAAAGAGATCTAAATAACCAACATTGTAAGAGTCACATAGACAATATAAACTTACTATGGTCACGTCCCCGGACACTATCTAGCCCACGAACATTGTCGAGACCGCGGCGAGGAGGGCCCGGTGGACCACCACCACCGGGACCACCTCCAGGAGAGCCGCCATCCCATTTCTTAGTAGAACCAGAACCTTTTCTGTAGGCATCCGACTTTTCCATCTACGAGATGATGATCACGTCATGAACAAACATCAATTCGATTTCAATAAATTTCCTTTTGATATACGATTTCAATGAACTGCCTATAAACTCCTAAATAGATATCAAGAAAAATTAAATTATACCGAAAACATCGTTGCAAAAAACACGCCTATGATGTTAACAATGGCCCAGAAAAAATCAATGATTGTTTTGAGCCGCCAGATTGATCGCTTTGATTTAACAACACCTGCAGGAAATTGCATCAAGCTCCCAATTACGTATTTTTTGCTATCACAGGTCATAAACGTCAGAAGTTAAAATAAATTCTTTTGAACTTATCACATATGCTAAAAACTGTATAGATCAAACGCCACGTTTCACCTTGCGATGTCGAGAAAGGAAGTACAACATATATCTTTTGAACGCATCATATCAGCAAATTAAATATAAGCAAGATATGACGTTATTAAGCCACAGCAGTCTAGCTTGTAGCCCTAGTTTAATCAAGTAAACATAAGATGCTATATGATGCTGGATTAAAATTTGTCATAATTTCAAAAACTTCTGTAAAACTAACGTGGACACAACAAAACAAGAATGTAGGCAAAATTGAAAAGAAAAGAACAAAAAAGAAAACATGATTGATCAGACATGGAGCATGCAAAAATCAATAAGCAGCTTTCACTAGCAGAAAGAGGATCTTACAGAATATCACAACTAGTGACAAGATCTCTCTATTTTTACAACACTGAATAAGGGGGAGGGGATCGCTTGATATGGTTAAGAAATATTAAAAAATAAAACAGAGATTAAAATAGACCAAGAATAAAATTAATCACTCAATTTGTTAGTACAGAAGGTTATTTGCTTTGAAGAATAAAGGGAAGACAGTAGTTAATTTGATAGTTAGAAAAGTTAGTTAGTTAGAAGCGATTAGTTGTATAAATAAATAGGGGGAAGCAAGGGTAGGGGAATCATTCAGGAATTGTATCGTCACTGAACCAAGCATCGAGCAAGTGCTCAGTTGTGAAAGGGAAAACACTTTCTGAAGGAGAAATCCTAGGAGGAGAGAGATTTTTTTGTTTTTGCTCTATTCATTTTCAGATAAGCAATAAAACCATTATTTTCTTTTCTCTATTCCCATCATGGTTCCTGACAATTTTGGTCCAACGGACCGGATCCCTTATCAAGGAAAATGTAGAGGATTTGGTGGTGTTATTGAAAGAGGACCTAGTGATCATGAATTACAGCCTCGCTCTTGAGGTTCCAGACTTCCAGTATTTCTGTGCTTAAGGAGATGCTGTATCAGTTAATGAAGAAGAAGGGACTTGATAGTGAGGAACAAAGAGTCCAGGCACAACCCTTTGAGACCAGAAACAGTATTTAATACTTACTAAAAACAAGAGAGTATTTAAGGGTACTAGCAGGTCAAGGTGAGATTGCCAAGCCAAATTTTCCATCCAACAATGAGTAGGTGAGGGTCATAGTATGCACTTCCTGATGCATCCATTTTTTTATTCCTATTTATAAATTATTGTTTTTATTTCAGATAAAGAGTGGCATCACAAGTGAACATAAATGACAAAATATAGGTTATAAGGATCAAAGTGTGCTTCACTGTGGCTTGGCTTGCAACATCAGCTATGGTGACATAACCAATATTGCTAATAATCCAAACGAAGATATTAATTATCAGACAAGTGAGAGTATCTGGATAACAAGATACTAATTTAACTTATAATGCATGCTGCAGATCCTCCCCATATAGATTGAGATTTGAGATATATATAAGGTCAGAAATGCTTAAGGATAATATGTGGGCAAGTTTCATGCTGAATAAAGTGACTTCACAACTACTGATTGGACTTGAAATCTTGCAAAGACATCGATATTCGATGTTTGACCAGTAAAATTGGAAAATCAGGAGATACTGGGGTAAAGACATTGGAAAGAAAGTACTCTGAATTTTATTTAATGAAAAAGAAAAAGATAATCCTCTGCCACAGCAAGGGCAAGTTAGTTTTAAAATGTAAATATGAATGTGTTGTTTGACATATCCAATGAGCTAGAAACATCATCAGTATAATTCTTAAAATCTAATATATCAAAATAAGGTTGATATAAATTAAAAAAGAAACAAACAATTAACATATCCAGTGCAGTGGAATATTTACACTGGAAGCTAAGGGCCAGGCCTTGCATTTATTTATGCATATATGTAGATGTATCATGCATACATGGATGATTCCATTGGGGCTTGATAACCACACCGTAAGACCAATCCTCATGTATCTCATATGCATACACACACGGAAGAGAAGAGGGAAAGGGGTTAACCGTGGGGGCACCCAGTTATCTATATCCTGAATTCCCAACAAGTATTAAAACCGTTGCATCAAATATGAAACACTATTTTAGATATCACTTCACGATCAGATGCCATCGCAATCAAGATAGTGGCTCATGCAACGCAATAACCGGTAAACAATCACAATTATGGTGCAGAACAGAGGTGCATAGAAAATGATCAGATTCATCAGTAGATATCAAATTAACATGGCCATTGGCGTGCACGTAACTGACGTAAGAAACGAGAAACAGAAATTAGGCACTCGAAGAAATAAGGTTTTAAGAATCATACTGTAATAATCCCAAAATTAGTATGTATGTATGTATGTAGCGGATTGAAACATAGAAATCTCTGAATTTTGTGATCGTCTCTTGAAAATGAATACGTGAAAAACAATAATTAGATGAGATTGGATTTCAAAGAACCAATATAAGAGCAAGAGGTTAAATTACATTAATCAATGCAAGCGTACGATAAGAGGAAAAAGTTGAACCTCAGCCTAAACCTCAACGGCAACCAAAAAAAAAAAAAGTTGATATGAAATTAAAGAGGTAAATAGATAAGAGGAAGATACCTCGCTCAACGTAAGCCATTTCAGACGATTGCTGCAACCTGCGATTCAATTGAAGAAAGAGATCAAATTCAACGCAGTATTAATAGCTTCTAGAACTCTTCCTTCTTTTTTCTTTTTCTTTTTTAACCAATTCCGTTTCTTCGTATTTTTTTTGTTAACTATTTCGTAACATTGTTTTATTTATTTATTTATTTTTGGTAATCTTCATTGTTTTATTTTTTAACTATTTCATAACATTGTTTTTTACACGGTAAGTTATATTTATTATTATCTTTTATTATTAAATTTTAATCGTTGATTTCTGTTAATTTAACGGTTATAATTTTTTGAATTACATTTATTATTTAATTTTTAATAAATTATAACTGTTAAATTGATGAAAATCTACAATTGAAATTTAGTAATAAGAAATAGCAAAAAAAAAAATTAAATATAATCTTTTCCTTTTTATAATTATTATACAAAAGAGAAAATACGAAAAAAAAAAGCTTGTTTTGAAAAATTGATAACAGGGCAGTCCGATAGAGATTGGCAAAGCGGGCGGACTGTCGTATCATCAACCCATCTCGAGCCAGCCCATTCTCTTCCGTTAGCCCATTCTCTTCCGTTTTTGATAATAAATTGAAAAAGTCAATCTATCCTACCCCGTCTAAAAGCCTGCCTAGCATTGCAAGTCCGCTATTTAATACTATTTAATAAAAAATTATTTAATAATATACAACAAAAACTTCTTTTTTTTTTGGAGTTACCCAACCCTAATTACCTCTTTGAGGTGAGTTGGCTCCCTCCGGTATCCCCACGAGCTTCGACTCTTTGAGCCGGCTATGGGACTAATCCGGAGTGCGGGGGAGCAGTGATGGCTAAAGGTTCAGCCCCCTCCCAACAAAAACTTCTTAATTACCTCGTATGTGAACTCTTATCGTATGAAAAACTTGTTGATTATCTAAGAGAGTTTTTGATAGGAGTTTTTTTCTCAAGATATCCATACATTTTAGAATGGTACTTTAAAAAATTTACCCAATAAACTAATTTGTCCATCATTTCTCGTTTCTTTGAAAATTGTGATAAAAACATTGTTTAACAATACCACTTTGAAAGTGGTATTTTGATATTAATAATAAAATGGAAAAAGGAGTGCGAAGTAGATCACGAAAACGACCCTCTTCTATTATGTAATATTTTTTAGTGAAGGGTTGCTTTCGTAATTCCACCCTATTTTCTCAGCAATATTTTATCTTCAACCAAACATAGACTCAGGAAATTTAAACCAATTTTTCCAATAATATTTCAGCCTTTTAAATAATTTTTTTTTTTAACTTTCCTAGAAAACTCATTTTTCCACCATATTCCCAGTAATGTAATTCTTTGGTAATTTTTTTTTCTCCTTTACCAAATTCTCCCTAGTAGTCAAGTGATTCAATTTTTCCACGTAAATAAGAAAATACAGAAGATGAATGAACTACTTTAACAAGTTTTTTAATGGGGATGGCGATAAAAATGAAGTGGGCTTGGAGGATGCTTATGATGATCGAAATAGAAGATTTGTGCGCAGAATCAATACACATGAAGTCAATGAGGCTTTAAAGAGGATGGAGACTAATAAAGCTTTGGGACCCGATGACGTACCTATTGAAGTGTGGAGAGGCTTAGGGGATGTGACAATAAATTGGCTGACCAATCTTTTCAATAAAATTCTTTAAACAAATAAGATGTCTGATGTTTGGAGGAAGAGTATGCTTGTGCCTATTTACAAAAACAAGGAAGATATCCAGAATTGTTCTAACTATAGAGGCATTGAGCTTATGAGCCATACTATGAAGTTGTGGGAGAGAGTTATTGAACATCGTTTGAGGAGAGAGACCAAAGTTTCTGCAAATCAATTTGGATTTATGTCAAGAAGATGTACCACATAAGCTATTTTCTTCATCTGTCAATTGATGGAAAGATAACGAAAAAAAAAGAATTTACATATGATGTTCATAGATCTTGAGAAAACATATGATAGGGTTCCAAGAAAAGTTTTATAGTGGGTTCTTGAGAAGAAAAAAGTACTCTTAAAGTATGTAAATGCAACCAATGATATGTGCGATGAGGCTATTACATGTGTGAAAGCTTGTAATGGAACATCAAGTTATTTCTCTATTACAGTAAGTGTACACCAAGGTTCGGTTCTAAGTCTTTATCTCTTTGCCTTAGTGATGAATGAACTAACAAAAGACATTCAAGAGGAAGTGATGGGGTGTATGCTTTTTGTTGATGATGTTGTGCTTATTGATTAGACCAAAGACGGTGTTAATAGGAAACTTGAATTGTAGAGAAGCACTTTGGAGTCTAAAGGTTTCACGTTAAGCTGGAGCAAGACTGAGTATTGAAGTGTGAGTTTTCTCTAGTAAGAGATGGAGATCAAGACCGTGTGCATCTACTTGGTCAAAAGGTACCCAAGAAAGATGCTTTTAGATACCTTGGATCAATTTTGCAAAAAGGTGATGAGATTGATGAATATGTAAATCATAAAATCAGAGCAGGATAGATGAAATGATAGAGTGCATCTGGATTTTTGTATGATCGCAAAATTCCCCTTAAGCTAAAAGGAAAATTCTATAGAACAGCAGTAAAAAAAAATTTGGCAGAGAAAAGAAAATTTTGACTGACATATAATATTTCTATTGGTGAAATGCACCAAATTTTTGGTGAACAGCAACACCTAAAATTTATTCCAGTGACCACGATCGAATCTATTTTGCCACCTATAACCGCAGTGTGGTGGCAGCAACTGCAATTCTTATTGGTAAATGATTTAAACGAGACAGAATTTATAAAAATAAAAAATGTAAAAAGTATATTTGTTTTTTTATAAAAATAAGAACTTAGTTCTTAAAAGCAGAAAGATTATACCAAACAAACTGACCGTCAATGTACTTGTGTAGATTGGAGAATAGACGGAAACAACGAGCCATTTGCATTTGCTAAAATATTCAATAAATCCATAAGTAATATTTGATTAATTTTATTTCATAGATTTTTTTAGTTTTACATAAAAAATTAATTAAGTAATCAATAATTGAATACTATACTTATAATTTAAAATATTTATTGTAAATAAAAGAACTTAAAAAAAATTATTAGACAAAAATATTAATTAGCCATCCGTTTCTTTGTTGTTGTTGTTGTAACTCTAAAGTTAAAGCCATCAGTTTTTATTTACTATGTATTTATACATATATAGAATATAGAAACATCCAAATCAGTAATGGCTCAGTTGAATGGTTGATATATAGATTTAGTTAAGATTAGGATGACTGCAAGATGAGGTTGACTGTATGGTTAAATAATTGATATATTCTACCAAAAAAAGTATTTGATATATAGACATTACGACATATAGGATGACTGTAAGATGGTTGAATGGTGGGTGGATTGGTTAAAAACCATGGTTTTGTATATATAGCCCCCTTATGATGAATCATATTTGCATATTCCCCTAGCCTTCGAGATTGGAAACCTCAATTCATTGCCACGATATGGAAGTTGAGAGAATACAAACCTTGGCTTTTAACGAACAACTCAAGGAGCTTCCAGCACAGTTCATTCGCCCAGCCAATGAACGCCCAGAGAATACCAAAGCCGTGGAGGGTGTCACTGTGCCTGTAATCTCACTGTCTCAGCCACACCATCTTTTGGTTAAGGAAGTCACTGAAGCTGCCTCCGAATGGGGATTCTTTGTCATCACCGACCATGGTATATCACCAACACTCATCCAACGGTTGCAAGAAGTGGGTGAGGAATTCTTTGCCCTCCCTCAGAAGGAAAAAGAGGCATACGCAAATGACCCCTCCACTGGTAGCTTTGAGGGTTACGGGACCAAGATGACCAAGAACCTCGAAGAAAAGGTGGAGTGGGTTGACTATTATTTTCACATTATGGCTCCTCCTTCTAAGGTTAACTATGACATGTGGCCCAAATGCCCTCCTTCCTATAGGTTCGTGCTTAATTATCTTATCCATATGCATTGTAAATTTGTTACTAAATTTAGCTTCTTCTTTTTTATTTCGGGTTTCGGTTTGCATTGGTTTTTGTAACAATTGCGAAGTAGAAGCTCTTCAATAATTATCATATATTAGACATGGATAGGTAGGTGTAACTGTTAGGCCCACGAAACGATTTACTTACGTTATTTTGTGTGTGACAGGGAAGTAACAGAAGAGTACAATAAGGAGGTCTTAAGGGCAACAGACAAGGTTTTGGAGCTTCTGTCCGAAGGGCTTGCCTTGGAGAGGAAGGTTTTGAAGTCCTCTTTGGGAGATGAAAAAATAGAACTAGAAATGAAGATAAATATGTATCCACCGTGCCCACAACCAGAATTGGCATTGGGAGTTGAGCCCCATACAGATATGTCTGGCCTTACTCTACTTGTCCCGAATGATGTTGCGGGCCTCCAAGTTTGGAAGGACAATAACTGGGTCGCAGTCAATTACTTGAAAAATGCACTCTTTGTCCACGTTGGTGACCAACTTGAGGTAAAGCAACTAATGTCATATTTTTAGCAGTTGAGAAAACATGGAATGTTTTTTTTTTTTTTTAAAAAAAAAGAAAAAGAAAACATGGAATCATATAGAAAGGAAAATATTTTATCGTGTTGTTGAATTAAAGGTCTCGTATTAATTTCTATGACATGAGATAGTAATGATCTTAATAACTCCCTGTAAAGAAACAGGAGAATGCGGTACAATGTTAAATCTAATAATTAAAAGATGCCCTTGTGGTGCATATTTTTTGTGATAGGTGCTGAGTAATGGGAAGTACAAGAGTGTTCTGCACAGAAGCTTGGTGAACAAGGAGCGCAAGCGCATGTCATGGGCGGTATTCGCTGTGCCTCCACATGAGGCGGTGATTGGACCTCTTCCTCAGCTCGTTAACGATCAAAATCCCCCCAAATTTTCAACGAAAACATACGCTAAGTACCGCCATCGCAAATTCAATAAGCTTCCCCAGTAGGGAAAGAATATAATCAGCGCCTTCCTTATGATCTTTAACATATATGGACTACTTAGGTGACATGAATTCGTAAATCACATGCGGACAATTTGGTTTAATGAAGTTCGGCTGCTTCTAGTTATGAATTTGCTTTTAAAGTAAAAGAGTACCTAAGCAGTTGGCATTTAATTTGTTGTTTCCTTTTAAGAATAATAGAAGGTTATGCTGTGCCCAATTAGAAAAAAAATAAAAAATAAAATAAAATTTGTGAGCAATAACATGAGGAGTTTACTAATATGCATGAAGTTACTATCTTCGTGATATCATTGTAATACAAAATGATTGTTAAATAATGTGTTTTTCGTATCAACAACTTCGACTTTCGGTGAATAAACAGTCTATGTAGATATAACTTTCACGTTTCATATTAATAAAAAGGGACAAGTTACGTTTTCAAACTTTTTTGTTTATAAACTCTTACAAATTATATTATCTTCTCTCGGGGGAAGAACACTAATTTTACTATGTTCTCTCGAGAAAAAATAGTGTAATTTGTAAAAATTTATTAAAAAAGTTTGTAAACGGATCCTTCCCTTGATACAAAATTCTTATAAAAATTATATTATTGTATTGAATGAAGTTTTTTTTTTTTGGATATATTAATAGGAATTAAACATATGACCTAATAGAAACTACCCAGACCAAACCTAGTAGCTTGAATGAAGTTTTCATATATGCGTTTCTGTTAATAACTTGTGACCGGCATTTTCAAGCCTGAAGCTGACCCAGCTGTATCCAATTTTAAACAAAAGAAGATGAAAACAGAATGAACTTCATTTTTAACCAATAATAATATTTCATTGGGCAACAAGGTAAGAAAGATGGTTACAGATATTGAACAAGGTTGGATCAATTTAACAGTCGAAGTCTTGGTCTCAATTATTGTTAGTGATTTAATATAGGGAAATATAACTCTCGTGTATTCTTCTCCTACAATGAATTGTAATTTTAAAAGTTGTTTTTTTCTTTCTCTCTTTAGAGGCTGTAACCTAACGTGAGAAAAACCAACTTTAATGTTACACTTAGGCTTTGTTTGGGAGTTAATTTTAGGAGAGGAAGAAAAGAAAAAGAAGGGTTTTAGTAAGCCCTTCCCTTATTTGTGAGTTTAAAAAAATAAGGGGAAGAAATTAAGAATTTTTACTAAACCCTCCTTCTTCTTAAAAGTAAAGTCCTCCAATTTGGAGGATTTAAGGGGGGAAATATTCAAAATTACTTATCTACCCTTAACATTAAAATGTGAAAACTACATAAATGTGAATCATTTTTAAATGTGACATTATTAGAAAAAAATTCAATTACCGATAGAATTTATAGACGAAAAATATTTCGTCAAAAAATAGTGATAATTTTTTTGATGAAAATCATATACGTCAAGAAATTTCCATCAAAACTAAATACGAAACCAGATTTTTCCATAATCACTGACATAAATTTTTTACGGAAAAAAATCAGTCAAAATTATTCTATAATTCCGTCGAAACTTTCAACGAAAATATTTTCGTCCAAAATTTTGACGAAACACATTTTCATCGAAAAGTTTCGACGTAAAATAATTATGTCAAAATTTTTTTTACGGAAAACACTTCCATCAAAATTTTACGCAAAATTTTTTGACGAAAAATAATTCCATCAACATTTGTGACTAAAAACATTTTTGTAAAAAATTTTAACGAAAAAAATTTTTTGTCAAATTTTTGACAGAATCTAAATTTCGTCAAAACATTTCCCTTAAAAAATATTTCACAAAAAAACATATTCATCGAAATTTTTGACGAAATATATTTCCATCAAAATTTTCAACGAAACACATTTTTATCGAAATTTTTTGACTAAAACAAAATTTAATCATAGTTCTTTACAGAATTCAAATTCCGTCGAAAACTCATTTTCGTTAACATTTTGACAAAAAAAAAATTCGTCAAAATTTTTAACGAAATTCATTTCCATCAGAAATTTTCAACGAAAAATATTTATGTCACGTTTTTTGATAAAAATATTTCCATCAAATTTTTCAAAGGAACACATTTCTGTCAAAAAAATTTGACAAAAAATATTTTCGTAATAAATTTTGACGAAAAATATTTTGATAAAAAATTTTGACAAAAAAAATATTATGTCAAAATTCTTTACAGAATCTAAGTTTCGTCGAAAGTTTCGAATGAAACATTTCCCTCAAATTTTTTGACAATAGAATTTTCGTCGAAATTTTGAACAGAAAACTTTCCGTCAAATTTTTTGACGGAATTCTTTTTTCGTTTAAAACATTTGATGGAAGAAATCATTTTTGTCAAAACTTTTGACGGAATTTCGTCGAAAATTTTGATAGAAAATTTATTTTTGTAAAAATTTCATCTGAGAAAAAATTCTATCGCTTTTCGACGAAAAAATAATTTTGTGATGAAACTTTCATTGCTTACAACAAAAGAAATTTGTTAGAACTTTTAAATTTAATTTAATTTGTTAAATATAATAATTATATTAATTTAAAAAAATGGTAAAACGGTAAAAATGTCTCATTAACCCTTCATTTTTCTCCCTTACCATTTTTTAACTCCGAAATAAGGGAAGAGAATACCTTCAATTACTTTGTCTTCTTTCCCCTCCCTTCTCCTTCGATCCCCTTCCTTTCATTTCCCTTCAAACTCCCAAACAAAGCCTTATGTACTCTTTGTAATACATAATATTAATTCATTGTAGGAGAAATTTCTTATCATACAACATGAGAAGTTAAGGACCCTTTTATAATATAATAATAAGTAGGTATTATATGAGAAGTCTCTTTTCTTATCACTCTCACTCCAATTTCCGTGATCTGTCACTGATAAAGCTCCAACTTCTTATGCAGACGTTGCAAGTCCATTTATTAATTTCGGTGAACAATTTATTCACCGATGGCCAATAAGCTTGATTCAGAAAAGTAAATGAAAAAGGAACCCGTCTATATGTATATGGCGAAAGTAATTACAATCAGAACAAATACAGTCAAACCCCAAAAGGTTTAGATTAGTTTTGAAGACCATCCAATATACGATAGGTACATGATTACATAAATATGCCTGTTACTTAAAATTGGGACATAAGAAAGAAAATCTCACGATCACAAAATGAAATTTCAGATTAGATAATTAAATTCTCTACATAAAACATGTGAATGACATATAATACTACTACATATACATATATACTAAAAAATAAGTCCTAATAGAAGCGGCCAATATAGCACCCCGCGTTCTTCAGCATTGCATGAAGATGTAGATATCATACATTTGATTGTGAAGGTCCAAAATAAATTCACTTACATTCTTATCAACAAAAAATTAGCAGAATTCCCTATCTTGGCCCTGAGATATTTTGTGAAGATATGTAAGAAAAACCAGTTTGTGAACCACTTGTCATGCTTGTAGAATTACGTGCTTGTTGATGCATCATAGAGCCAGACTCATTTTCCTCTGCAATCATGGAAGCCTCAGTAAACCTACGGCCATAAAAGCGCAGGAAGTTCAAAGATTCCATCCTTGGCTGCGGCAATGGAGTCCCACCTTCCAACATGCCAACAACAGTAGCCATATTTGGCCTAAGTGGTGGTTCTTCATGAACACAGCACAAGGCAATGCGAACTAGTTTCTCCACCTCATCATTTGTAACCCGTCCTTCTAGCCTTGGGTCAGCCAACTCCAGGTAACTCCCTTGTTCATGCATCTCTAAAGCAAATAGAGGAAAATAAACCAATCCAGTTGTTGATGAGGTTGGTGAATGGCCTCGACCACTGTTGCTGTCATCTACACTATGGCTTCTTGACCTAAAAAAACAATTCTTCCTTCCACTGATCAGTTCGAGCAGCACCATTCCAAAACTATAGACATCAGTCTTTTCTGAAATTGCAGAGTTTGTAAGCCACTCTGGAGCAAGATAACCACGAGTGCCTCTCATTGTTGTGAATAAACCAGACTCTTCAGGGCTAAGGAATTTCGAGAGTCCAAAATCAGATATCTTAGCCTGAAAGTTATCTTGCAAAAGAATGTTCTCGGGTTTGATATCACAATGAATTATCTTCAGCTCACAGCCACCGTGCAGGTAAGCAAGTCCACGTGCTGTTCCAAGTGCCACATCAAGCCTCTCTTGCCATTCTAAAACGGGTCCACCACCAAACAGGATGCGATCCAGGGATCCACGATTCATGTACTCATAAACCAACATACGATGTCTCCCTTGAGCACAAAAACCTTTCAGTTTGACCAAATTAACATGGTGAATATTTCCAATAACAGCAATCTCAGTGCAAAAATCTTTTTTCCCTTGAATGCCTATATTGACAAGTTTCTTTACAGCCACAACCGTATTATTAGACAGTACACCCCTGTACACAGCACCAAACCCACCTGACCCAACTAGAGTCTTAAAATTATCCGTAGCCTCCTCAAGTTCCTCATAGTCAAACCTTGTAGGTAAGCCCGGAATGAAGAAGGCATCCAGGTCCCCTGAAGAATGTGAGCTGGCTTTCCCTAATTTAACTTCTTGCATCTTTGACAGTTTCAATCTTCTCCACAAGAAGAAAAATAGTACCATAAAAAGAACGAATCCAGTAATAGGTAACATCACGGCAGCAGCCACGGGAAAACCCTCTTGAGAATAAGTTTGTTCATCATTAGTAATTTTAGATACACCAACAATAGCTTTAATGAAGCCCAACATGTCTCTTTCACCTGCATCTCTTGACTGAATGGATCCCAACTCATTTTCGATCATGTAACAAGAACCAGATGCATTTTCATAGAAAAATCCCAAGCAGGAACAGTTACTGGAACAAAGACTTTGACAGACAGATAAATTCACTCCATACATAATTGGATCAGAGTAAAAATTGTGAAAGTACTCCAGACCATACCCTAGTTTCAAAAACGAAACAACTGAAGAATTTGATTGACTATGGTAATCAGTAGAACCACAAGCAAATGGCAAAGAATAAGATCCATTGCTTGGCACACAACCACCAAAATTACCTGAGTCTACACGGAAGTTTGAGGGACAAGAGCAAACAGGTGTAGATAATGTAGTGTCATCAGCACATAAACCTACTCTGCCACAAACTGAGGGAGTTTGACAACCGTCATCTGGCCCCACAAATTCCTTCTTCCAGTCAGTGCCAGAAAAGCTGCTAATAGTAAACTGGCCAGAGAGAGCCAACTTTGCAATTCGAAAATTGGTTAGTGGCAAGCCCACATGAAAGACAGCCACTATACCATCATGTCCAAAGAGATAAAAACCTGTTCTGTTTATTGCCATGTATTCCACCATATCATTTGAATTCTTATAGACGTTTGTAGCCGTCGATAGTTTCCAGTATGTCTGTCCATACCATTGCAGTATTGCATCAGAGGCAGTAATTGTCAGGTTGTAGTTTCCAGTTGACAAGTCTGAATCGGATGCAGCACTTGACAGCGATGCTCCAACCGGCAAACGTTGTCCAATGACAATTGTGTCAGTTGGATATTGGAAGCTCTCCCAAAGAGAATCGTTGGACTGATCAAGTAAAATAAGATTTCCCATCTCAGTCAGTACAAGCTTATATGCTCGTGATTTCAATGGTGGTGTTGACCATTTGGTGTTTCCATCTTTATCTGCAACTGTAATCCCTTTGACGGTTAGACTCATTTTACCAGAATTAGAGATGGGAGCATTCCGGTTAGCAGACCAAATGATAGTGCTTGACGCAACATGAATGACACACAGATAGAAACTGGTTTGTTGACCACCGGGATTGAATATAGAAGCCTTGAATGTTTTATTGGGAGACAATAAGAAGGAGCCAGAGTCATCAATCAATTGAAGATATGAAGCAGTGAGATTTGGTTTGATATAATCCAAGTAAGTGTAAGCAGAGATGGAAGTAAACAAAAGGAAAATGTAAGAGAAAATTATGTTAATTTTCATGGTGTAATTTGATGAAATACAGAACTGGGACAAGTAAGAAATGGATTTGGAATTGAGGAGGGGAAGCAGGAAAGGGTGGAATTGGTCAGCTTCGGTGATCTCTTTTCTCCTATCCTCCAAATTCCAATCCATTTCTGCGTTGACTATTGAAATTCCTCAAAGGCCCATCCTTCTTTCTCTCTCTCTCTCTCCCCCTCTGACAAACTGTTTCCAAATTCCAATTAATGACGAAGGGGATCATTATTAATTATCCGGTGTTTACACTGGATAGGCACGCAAAGAATAAAAATTTCAGTGACAGAGAAACTTTTATATATGTTATCTGTTCTGAGTGATTAGTTGTCAAAAGACTCAAAACCCATGACTCGTGCCATTTCTTTCTCACATCTTAAAAGTACTATTCCCACAATCCTCCTCCTCAATTTATTATTCTCTAGTAAACTAAAGCCGACTTGTTTTAAAACTTAACGACTTCTGGGCCAGAATGAGTCATGACTTGAGTAGTTACTATAATTTATTCTGAAATAATTGCCGTTACATGCATGATTTCCACAGCTCATCTTTTTAAATATATTATATGAGAGAAAGAGATACACATCGGAAATTACGAGAGGAGAAAGTAGGAGGTTTTTTTAATTTAAATTTTAAATAAAAAATATTAATTTTAACTAAAATGATCGTATTTTAAAAAGACAAACATTTTTATTATATTATATTCCATTCAATTTATCAAAAATTGTAAAGGGAAAATAGTTTGTCCATTGGAATTGGAAGGACACAAGTTGTGTCAGTTTAGCTACTTATGATTATATTTTTTCTTGAAGTACATAATTATAATATTATTGTAAAGTGATGGAGTGGATCCTTTTACGGGAAATTATAACCACACAAATATGGATTAAATTATAATCATATAAAGATAAATTAATGGTGATAAAAGAAGAGAAAACATATATTAAAATAAATAATTACAAAATCATCACCATTCATATACTTTTTTATGAATATGATTTTCACGTACCATCATGTCGTCCTTTTGGAAAAAGTGTGTGTCATTTTAAAAATGTAAAATTGTATCATTTTAAGGGAGAGAAAGAGATAGATAAAGGAGAAGAGAGAGTTGATAAAAATAAAAATAAAGATGTGGGTCCCACCTTGTTACGAGAGTGAAAGGATATAAATAATGTAGTATAAACACTTTTTCCTATTTTAAAAGAGATGATACATTTCCATAAAGTGTGAAGGATTAACGCGGGAATTTGCTTGCGCTTATGCAAAAGACATGAGCGTTGGAGATAACAGGATATGCGGAGAAGGATATGAAGAGAGCAAGTCCCTCGAGAAGAAAACGATTTACGAATTCTCCCAAAAAAAGGATTTTCGAGAAAACTGGTGCTAAAAACCCTAATCTTCTAAAGAAAACTAGAACTAAGAAGGCAGGTCACGACTCGTTTATCTTCTCCCCAACACTAAGTGCATGTTTCGAAGCTTTTGCCAAGTTTGACTACTGTTTTTAAAAATAATTTTTTGGTTTTAAAAAGAAAAAAACCGTTTTATAAGAACTGTTTTATAAAAAAAAAGTTAAAATTATAATTTTTTTTTAGAATCAAATTTAAAAAACATGTTTGAGTTATTTATTTTGTGTTTTGATTTTTAATTTTCAAAATAAGAAAAAACACACAAAAACACATAAAAAAACCCAAAACATGACTAAATAGACCCTTCTCATACGCAGAAGTCTAATCAAATAAACTTTTTAAAGATATATGTCATTTTTTTTTGTTCTCACATTTATTTTTCAGTTATACCCTTATTCTAAATTTCTATTTATAAATTGGGAGAGGTTATATTTACTATATCTTTTTCTTATTATCTCTTATTATCAAATCTTAATCGTTAATTTTTGCCAATTTAACGGTTATAATTTATTAGAAATTAATAATTAATGAATAAATATGACCTAATAAATTACAACAGTTAGATTGACGAAAATCAACGATTAAGATTTAGTAGTAAGAAAAAAGATAGTAACTATAACCTCCCCCTTTAAGGATAGATAACTTATTTATAATAATTTAAAAATTAAATTGTTATGGACTTGACATAAAAGTCTACATTCTAAAAGGTTCAAGAAAGGTAACAGCTAAAAGAGAAATTAAGGAAAGATTTGTTAATTGTACTGATTCTAATGCGGCGGCAATGGATCAAAGAACTGGACCCACAATATTTCAAGGAGGCTCAGAAGTCCACTTCTGTTAGGTAAGGGTTAAATCAATCAGGTATACACTTGAACTCTCTCTCTTAGCTGTCATTGTGCACACAACTCACCTTTTGACTATGTCGTTACTATAGTGCACAGTGATCAGTTATTCTCTAAGGTATCTCCCCATAGATGCCTAAGAGATGGTATTGTGATCCAACATAAAATCATTAGTCTCTGACTAGACATTTTTGTCTCAAGAATAGAACATAAATAATTAAATTAAAAATTTTTAGGGAAAAATATTTATCCTTTTAAAGGATATAACTTTGTGTCATTTTAGATTATAATCGTTGATTTTCGTCAATCAACGATTATAATTTATTGTGAATTTCTAATAAATTAATATTTTTGACTCAATAAATTATAACCGTTGATTGATGAAAATCAACGGCTAGGATAAAAAATAACACAAAGTTATATTATTTAAAAGGACAAATATTTTCCCAAAATATTATTATAAAATATAAAATCCAATAAAATGACTAAAAGTGTAATTAAGTGTCCGATATTTAAAAAATAATATAATGAATATGATAAAGTATTACAAAATTATTGATCAAATCATGATCTATTTAATTTTAAGTATATAATTTCTAAAAGACACTTGTAAACTCATCACTTCATTTCTCTAAAATGGTAACACTGATGTGAACACATCTTTTAAGTACTCATTGTGGGTTTTTTGACCCTAATTTATTAAAAAATACCCATTTTGGCCATATTCCAAAATTATACATCAATCTGCCCTTATTTAATCGATTACGAGAGTCACTTAATCGATTAAGTGTCGAAATAGTACAAGTAATCGATTACTATATTGGTTTAATCGATTAAGTGTTGAAATCTAAATTCGGGCTTATCTTTGACAACATTATTCTGCCAGTGTTGGGTAATCGTTGGGATAAATTATCGCCTAACCATTTGACTGCTTTCCAGTGCTCTTTGTCGGGGTTTGACAAAAACTGACTTGCCATTGCAAAAGCATACGCTAGATTGAATCTCGTACATACCATAGCATACATCAAACTTCCGACGGTGGATTGGTACGGGATCTTCAACATCTCATCTTTTTCTTCATCAGATCTCGGACATTGCTTCTGGCTCAACTTAAAGTGTCCGAATAAAAGAGTGCCCATTGTCTTGCATTTGTCCATGTTGAACCTCTTCATAATCTTCTCAATATATTTTTCTTGACTTAACCACAATAGCCTTTTAGGTCAATCTCGGATAATCTTGATTCCGAGTATCTACTTTGCAGGGCCGAGGTCCTTTATTGTGAAGGATGAGCTTAACACGTTCTTAAGGGCGGCTATCATCATCTTGTTTTTCCCTACAATCAACATGTCGTAAAGATATAAGAGTAAAATCAAAAAGTCTCCAGCCTCATACCTTTTTACAAATATGCAATGGTCGGCCTCAGTCTTCTCAAATTTATGATTAGTCATAAAAGATTTAAATTTCTTGTACCACTGTGAGGTGCTTGTTTTAAGCCGTACATGCTTTTCTTCAAACAGCAGACCAACTCTTCGCATCCCAGAGCTCGGAACCTTTCAGGTCGCTCTATACTTATTTCTTCTTCGAGGTTCAAACTGAAGTCATTTTTACAATATGAGAGAAGATTTCTTCAAAATCAACTCATTTCTTGTGATTGCAGCCTTTCACCACGTCCCTAGCCTTGTACCTTGACTTCTGGCCATTTTCTTCATTCTTAATTTTGTACACCCACATGTTCTTTAGAGTTCATCTTCTTTGAGGTAGCTCGATCAGCTCATAAGTTTGGTTTTCATGCAAAGACTTCATCTTGTCCTGCATAGCCTTTTCCCATTCAGTTTTGTTTGAGTTCGTCATGGCCTCATCATAACTTTATGGTTCTTCCTCTTTAGCAACAATTGTATATTCATCAGTAAGGTACCTTGTAGAAGATTGTCTTACTCGTGTTGAGTGTTTGGATTGTTCTTCAGGTTGAGAATTTGGCTCAGCATTCTCATTATCTTGGATCTCATTATCTCAGACCTTAGCATCTCGGTCCTCATCAACTTGTTCATTTTCTCCCCCTGCTTCAACTCAAACAGCAGGGATGGGTTCTTCTCCTCGGGAAACAACCCGGACTTTGGGCTTCAAGATGTCTTGAATAGTCTCGTTCTCATGAAAGACTACACCCAGCTTCGCACTATTTTCTTGTTGATTGGATCCAAGAGTATAAATCCAAATTCGCATCTCAGCGAACCGAGGTAAATGCATTTTTTAGTTTTCGCATCGAGCTTCGCCCTTTTATTTTTAGGGATATGCACGAAAGCTCGGCATCCAAATACTCTTAAGTGATCATAGGCCGCTTTTCGGCTTGTCCAAACTTCTTCAAGAATTTCTACTTCAATGGTTAGAGGTTGATCAAGTAAATAGCAGATCGAACTGTTTCAACCCAAAATGATTTTGGCAACCCGACATGTGATAGCATGCTCCGTACCCTTTCTTCAATAGTTTGGTTCATCCTTTCAGCAATTCCATTTAGCTGAGGATTCTTTGGGGCTGTCTTCCAAAGTCAGATCTCGGCCCCTCTGCAATACTCACTATCATTGTCAGATCGAACCACTTTCAGCTTCTTACCAGTCTCCCTTTCCACCATTGCATGAAAATCTTTGAACGCTTGGAGTACCTGGTCTTTAAATTTTAACAGATACACCCACACTTTGCGGGAATGATCATCAATAAATGAAACGAAATATTGAACTCCCCCAAG